CGCGGAGCATCACTTGGTAGACGAAGTCGGCGTAACTTGGGTAAGATAGCGTCGGGTAGCCGGAGCTCGGCTGCGGCGGCTACGGCAGCAGGCGCCTCGTAGAAGTCTCCTCGACGCCAGGTGACGGGTCGGTAGCTGCAAGCGCGTCCTTGGCGGGGCACGACGTCGGCGGGCTTCAGTTTGTGCTCTCCATACACATCACGATACTATTTTTCAGATTTCACTTGTTCCATCCCGAAGACGGGACGAATTCGCGGAGACACATAAGCTCGCCGCGCGGACGTTCAGTGCACGGCGGCAGCTCACGGGTACTGGACCATAGTGTAATTCATACCACTTGACAGTGGTCCCTTCCGAGAGCCAATTCCTTCATCGAATTCTTTGGCGATGTCGTTCGTATTACGGACGGGTGCTTGAATGCGACCTTGACGTCCGTTACTAGCCAAACATTGCCGCGTGGCTGGCTCAGTTCAAAGGCAAGCAAGCAAACACGTGTTCCTCAACGAAATCTTCCAACAACAACACTAGATTTGTCTCGATGGACACCTATACATACAAGGAAAGGCATTCACGTTTCCAGGAGGCAAGCAGGAGGCAAGCGATGACACTACATATATTCGTGTTCCGAGGTGGCAACGGTATGCTTCACATCCGGCGTTTGATCAAAATCTCATTGGGTGCCGATCCCCATGTCCCGCCATGCGGGGGCCCTGTGCACGTCAACGCCGTGGGACGTGACTTCCTTCGTCGAAGTTCTAGTCCACGACACGGCCGATGAGTTGCCAAACGGCATTCTTCAATCTTCCATCATCAAGAACAATCATGGCAGCCAAGAACCTCTTTACGCCCCTCACGCTCGGCCGCTTCACGCTGCCCAACCGCATTTTCATGGCACCGCTCACGCGCTGCCACGCCACCGCCGACGACCACATTCCGTCGACACCCATGATCCAGCACTACGCCGACCGCGCGTCGTCGGGCCTCATCATCGCCGAAGCGACCATGATCACACCCAACTCGTCAACGTTCTGGACCGAGCCAGGTGTCTACTCGCCCGAGCAGCTCGTCGCGTGGAAGAAGATTACTGACGCGGTTCACGCCAAGGGTGGCACCATCTTTCTCCAGATCTGGCACGGTGGCCGTGCGGCGCACCCAGATCTGAACCGTGGCGCAGACAACGTCGCGCCGTCAGCAATTGCGATTGACGGCTACACGCACGGTCCCAACGGCAAGGTGCCGTACGTCGTGCCCCGCCCGCTCACGCTCAACGAGATCAGCGACCTCGTCGCACAGTTTGCGACCGCAGCCAAAAGCGCCGTCGAAATCGCGGGCTTTGACGGCGTCGAGGTCCATGGCGCCAACGGGTACCTCATCGACCAGTTCCTCAAGGACAGCAGCAACACGCGCACGGACGCGTACGGTGGCTCGATCGAGAACCGGGCGCGATTTGTCCGGGAGATCTTGACGGCGGTCTCGGACGCAATTGGCGCGGACCGCGTTGGTGTTCGATTCTCACCCGCGGATGGGTACAACTCGATGCACGACTCGGACCCGGTCGCCTTGGCGACATACCTCGCAAAGACGCTCAACGACTTTAACCTTGCGTTTATCCACATCCGCCGAGGAGACTCGAACGAGCACTTGGAGATCTACCGCAAGCACTACAAGGGCGTGCTCGTTGGCAACCAATCGTACACGCGCGACGAGGCTAATGAAGCGATTGCGACCGGCAAGCTGGATGCAGTTGCGTTTGGCGCAGCGTACGTGGCCAACCCAGATCTCGTCGCTCGGTTTCAGAAGAACGCGCCGCTGAACGAAGGCAACCCAAAGACGTACTTTGCTCAGGGTGACGAAGGCTACAACGACTACCCATTGCTTGAAGAGTCGACGGCCTAAGGGTTTGATATCGTTTATATAGAAAAAAGACATAAACAATCCAACGAATATTCATCGATCACGGTTTCTAAAAGAAAAATGTGGACTTTGTCGGAACCGCTAGAGTCCGATGCAGGCGCACGAGGTGGTGACTTGAGTAGTGCAGAGACTTATGTCGTAAGGAGCATAATGTATAGCGTATATTGAGTAAACACGTAGTATACTGTATAATCTAGGGTACGACTACGGTCGTTGCACAACTATCCAGACTTTGCAGCGGCGTACCAGGATACAAATTCTATACAAATCCTAACAGACTTGTTCATCGGTACAATTGCTACGGGTGCTTCGAACCCGCTAATGCATTAAAACGAAGAAGCGCCACCTCGATATCGAACAGTAGTTTCTGGGCAGTGGTTGCTGGGTGGGCCTTCGTGCCGAAATCGGCACAGCACAGCGGCAAAACATCCGTGGCGGAGGACCAGCGCCAGAGACCCTACGCGTGCTAGACGCGTGCTAGAGTATTACAAAAGGTACCACTCGATCAATTTTGCCTTGGTCGTCCTAACCTATCTACCACTGGATAGTAATAGTAGCTGCTCTGAATTCAATAGCCGTCAGCGGTATCTGCCGCCGTCATTTTAGGTTCTCAGCGATGAAGGACTCGTCGCAGAACGCAATGCAATCGAACTGATTTACCGATAATTGGCAACCAAGTAAGCGGTCCATCGCACCACCGTCCAGCAACATCTCCAACTATCTACTGCATACCGAGCAGTGTCAAGTGTACACGACAGCAGCTCTCTGCGCGAGACTGCGTCCCTCTGTTGCCTGCTTTGGGTGGGAATTTTTCGCCAACGAAACCTTCCTGCCGACGTCGGCACCGCATAACTGCGCCCGGAGACGAGGCGTGCGTTACGCGCATCATCCCCCACGCGGTGCGTTTCTAGTTCTTCAGCATCTGTCTACTGCGTGGTCAAGGTGTACCATATAGGCAAGCCGTCGTCGACGTCTTGAAGTTTGTATGGTGCGACCTAATAAAAATTCCGAAGACTTTCTGAAATATCCTTAAGTACGATATGACCACAATTTCTCAGCTCGACTACTAGTATACTGTAGCAGGTGCCGATCTCCAAAGACTTCTGTTTCATTGCAGCTCTACACCACATACCACGCTGTTGTGACGCCTCCAGTTCGTTCTCTCAAAGCTCGTCATTTTCCAATTCGGCTCTTCGACAACATCTAACGATCATGGCTGCCAACAACCTCTTTACGCCCCTCAAGCTCGGCTGCCTTGAGCTCGCGAATCGCATCCTCATGGCGCCACTCACGCGCTGCCGCGCGACGCCTGGCGACCACATCCCGACGGAGGCCATGGTCCAGCACTACGCCGACCGCGCTGCATCTGGCCTCATCATTGCCGAGTGCTCGATGATCGCGCCCAAGACGTCGGCCTTCTACTCGGAGCCCGGTGTGCACACGCCCGAGCAGTTGGCGGCGTGGAAGAAGGTCACGGACGCGGTCCACGCCAAGGGCGGCAAGATCTTTTGCCAGATCTGGCACGCCGGTCGCGCCGCGCACCCGATTCTCAACGACGGTGCCGAGAACGTCGCGCCGTCCGCGATCGCGATCGAAGGTCTCACCCACAGCGGGTCGGGTGACAAGGTTCCGAACGCTGTGCCCCGGGCGCTCGAGCTCCACGAGATCGCCGAGACTGTCACGCAGTTTGCCATCGGTGCGCGCAACTGCGTCGAGATCGCGGGCTTTGACGGCGTCGAAATCCACGGTGCGAACGGGTACTTGGTCGACCAGTTTCTCAAAGACGGTGCCAACAAGCGCGGCGATGTGTACGGCGGCTCGATCGAGAACCGCGCTCGGTTTCTGCGCGAAGTAGTCACTGCCATCTCGGACGCGATTGGCGCCGACCGCCTTGGTCTTCGGCTGTCGCCGGCTGACGGTGAAAACTCAATGACCGACTCGGACGCGGTGGCGTTGGCAACGTACATCGCGCAG